GTGATTGGCAACCCCGAAGAGGAATGGAATCAGTTGGATCAGTGGTACGACATACCAAGCGTAGAGCTGCCTCAGCCACTACAGGGTTGGTATAATCAGGAAAGACGCTGGGTTCGGAGGATGGTTCCGGATGAACACCTCCCTGATTCAAACCTTGAGATCTTCGGACCACCGGAGGCCGCTATCGTGAAGGTAGAACCTGCCGCTGAATGGAGTCCCGATTCGAATGACCCCACCCATGATGGTCGATGGGTAGTACCGGGCTACGAGGTCAAGCAGGTCATTGAGGAACATCATGATCGACCCGTAGCGGGGCATCTAGGAAGGGATAAAACCCTCGAGTTGATTGATAGGAACTACTGGTGGCCAGGAATGTCCACAGATGTAGCCAGCTTCGTCAAGACTTGCGATGTATGCCAGAGAGCCAAGCAACGTCGGAGACACTTGTCACTCCCTCAACCCCTAGAGTTAGCCACCACACCTTGGACTGATATCTCGATGGATTTCGTAGTAGAAATGCCAAAGGAGAAGTCAGGATTCCGCAACGTATTGGTAGTCGTGGACCGTTTTACGAAAATGGCTCACTTCATTCCAATGACGGGAATCAACGCGGAGCAAACCGCCAACGCATTTGTCAAAGACATCTGGCGTTTCCACGGACTCCCTAGGAGTATCGTCTCAGATAGAGGAACACAATTCGTGTCAGCGTTCTGGACGGCAATCACGGAAAGATTGGGGATTCGTAGAAGACTCTCGACATCATTCCACCCGCAGACCGATGGCCAAACGGAACGAACCAACCAGCACATGGAAGGTTATATTCGGGCCTATACGGCAGGAACAGGCAAGAAGTGGAAAGACCTGTTACCTATCTGCGAATACGCCTACAATAATGCGAAGCATACGTCGACGGGACAATCGCCGTTCTACTGCAACTATGGTTTCCACCCTCGAACGGACTGGCCTACAGATGCAGAGATCGAACGTTTAGATGCCAATGGGAACAACTACTTGGACGAGATCATTACGGCCCATGAATTAGCGAGAGACACGCTACAGAAGACTTTCGACAGGATGGCGTCAAAGCCAGGGCCAGCAGTACAGCGGTTCACTATCGGTCAGAAAGTCTTGCTGGATACTCGGAACCTAGGAGGATACTCCAAGTGGTCAGATAAATTTACAGGACCATTCACGATCTCAGCGGTGATAGGCAATGGGGCTTACCGCCTTGAACTTCCGGTAGAATGGAAGGTTCATGACGTATTCCACGAGATGCTGCTACGACCCTATCGCGAGGATGCGGATCCCACTAGGCAGCAAAACACACGAAAACGACTAGCAACACCCGAACCACAGGAGGCATTGGCAGACGAGAACTTCCAGCCAACCTCGAACATACGACCCCATACACGGGGTCAAGGCCCAGCGATCGATAATGACCGGGCTCACAGGCGACAACGGAACAGGCGGGACTAAGCTCGATACCTTTCCCTACTCTATGACTTTTCCCACAGGGTTTTTATCATAGAAGGGTTTTAACGGTCGAGGGCGACGTCTAGGAAGGGGGAGTAGTGTTACAGGAACTACGGAGCGCTGTCCTAGAGGCGAAGGACAGTGAGGAATACGAGTGACGGGTTGTGACGCGAGGATGGTCGGGTAACGAAAGGACAAGCATAGAAAGGTATCGGGTAGTGTGGGGGCATGCGGTGTTACCACACTAGTATTATACTATTATGACGGCACGCTTACTATTGGGTGTCTCACCTGAAATAGAATAGGAAGCGGGGCTTACGGCTGTAGGCTGTTCTACTTAGGGAAGTAGGTCTAGGATAATAGTATGGTACAACCCGATGACTGGCAATTGCAAGGTTCATGGTTACGTGTCGGAATTAGAATGGAGGACGGAACTATGCGGGGGCGCTTTTCTATCTGGATTATCTTCGGGAACGTTATCTTATTCTATTATCGTTGTATCAGTTAGTATTAGGAAGCGGGCCTTGGCATAGGTTCCAACATGTATAAATAGGGCAGGATTCTGCGAAGACTTGAGGGTATCATCAACCACCAAGTCAAGGGAATCCGGTTTACAATATCATCAGTTTAAACGCTACAGAATTATCGCTTAGCACTGGCCATTTCCCCAAACAACCCTAGTGTGCTCACTGATGTGTGAGTGAACTCAGCAAACGATCTTCAAGGGACAATAGTAATAGGAATAATAGGGTCGAAAGAAAAGAAACCCACTTTCGAATTTTCTAAGCTCATCCCCGAAGCTCGCATGTCGAGGGGGTTTCCTGAATGGAACGATTTACCCATAAAGCTCCCTAGGTGAGCTGGCTTTAGCTCCGGCTTACTGACTGGACCGGTGATTTTTAAAATCGGCTTATCAAGGAAGAAACTAGGTCACCCAGGACGTTTTGCGGTTGGAATAGGTATTTTTGTAGGCTAGATTTGCGGAAGGGGAGCCTTGTTTGGCGTTATGTCTCAAAAAGACTCAAAACTATCATGTTTCGGGTGGTGATATGACCTTTTCTCACGATTCCATGACATATGACAGGTTCTATTAAGGACCCGTTCGGCCAACCCAATAATCTAGATTATTGGCGATAATCTGAGGATCATCGACTTTTGGATTATCATAATAATCTATGCTGTTGGTGCAATTGGATAATCCAACATTTGGAACTCCCGATTATACCAATAATCCACCAAGAAAACCATCACCTTCGGAGGTAATTATTCCCACACAACATAGATATCCTAAGAGCCTAATGCTATTTCAAAGTTATCCGGACATGTAGATTATCCACTTATTATGAGTATTATGATTACCATTTTCGCTACCCGATAATCTAGTCTGTCCAATGATCCGAAGAAATAATCTAAAGTTGTCCGAACGGACCCTAAGTCTTTTTCTGGTAGAAAGGCTTCCGAATAGGTAAGAATACATGTAGGTCAAGGAATTTGGAAGGTCTAGCGCGCGAGAACTGAAGGGACTGGGAGGGCGAAACTAGGTTTTCGTGGGTTAGGGTTTGGGCGGTTTTTTTTTTTTTTTGTTTAATTCATTGACTGCATGGGTTAGGACGGGGTAAATATTAAGGGCCCGTTCGGACAACCTTAGATTATTTCCTCGGGTTATTGGACAGACTGGATTATCAGGTAGCGGAAGTGATAATCATAATACTCAAAATAAGTGGATAATCTACATGTCCGGATAACGTTAGCTCTCAGGATATCTGTGTTGTGTGGGAATAATTACCTCCGGAGGTGATTGTTTTCTTGGCGGATTATTGGGATAATCAGGAGTTCCGAATGTTAGATTATTCAATTGCATGAACAGCATAGATTATTGTGATAATCCAATAGTCGATAGTCCGTCAGATTATCGCCAATAATCTAGATTATTGGGTTGTCCGAACAGGCCCTTAGTTCGATTCATTCAATGCCGGATGGGAAAGTAAAAAAGAGGGGGGGGGGGGAGATGAAGAAAGAAAGTAAAGATATGTTGATAAAAATAGGTGCCCTTGGCTCGAATGAATCAGGTATCGTACCTAGACAATTCGGGTACCCAGCTGTTCGTAATTGGTGACGTGGAGGCGTTTAATGTGTAAACAGCTCAAAACGGGTCATCCTGGATCAATAATAGCTGTAAAATTGCGAAGTTACACTACCTAGTATGACTTCCAGGTGTGGTTACCGCTGCCAGATCCGGATCACTGTCTGTGGGCCGCGATACATTGCAATTTGACAACGGTAGAGACTTCGGGTTAGCCTTACTTCCAATGGTACAGCGTTTTGTAATTAAGGTAAAATCTATGGGGTTATGTGAGTTTATGGGATCTGCTTCGTTTTCGTGCTACATTAGATATAATTAGCATCTAGCAGTTGAGATTGAAATGATCGCTCACAGTCAAAAGCAACGTCGTTCCGCTATTTCGTTTGATTTCGTTCCCGCTATCACACCTATTGAAGAGTTAGTACCTTGCAGCATCGCTAAACAAAAGAGAAAGATTGATTATCTGTACTCCTCTAATATATTGTATAGCAGTGGATTACTAAGTGATGGATTCTGGAGGTGACAGGGTGATAGTTCGTGAAGATGGAATGGATCATACATGTACTAGGGTGTAGCGAAAAGTGATCAGAATCTGATAAGACAAATACACCTATTCACCGTAACATTCACTTATCAGATTCTGATCACTTACCCTCAACAGCTCCAAATCCTCGTTTCTTGGCGACAACGGGCGCATGGCTGCAGCCAGCACATACCCAGGATGCAACGGTTGCCGCCCACCAATGTTCGGTGGACGCTCGCTGATGGGGGCAGCGCTCGCAGATGAGCAAGAAGCTTGTCTACCTAGGCATTTGACGAAAAATTAGTTTTGTTCGTCGATTGCCGGTGTTCGCGTGCCTACATCGTACCATCCTTCTTTTGTCGTGGAAGTACATGTAGGTATCCTTGTTGGTAAGCAAGTCTTCTTCCCTGTCACGGAACGGCGGAACGGCCCGAGATGACGCATCCGCTAGTGACTGTTCTTGAGAAAGAGTCAAAAACGTCTTTGGATGTCGTGACTCATCATTACATAAAGCAAACATAACTACATAACTACATATGCTGCAGCACACTTGATCTGACTTTATTCGAACATTCAGAGAAGTATCTTATCTAGAGCCTAGAGCCTTGGGCCTAGCGCCTAGACCCTAGAGCCTAGAGCCTCCAGCGCATCTGCGACCTAGTGCTTGACTGAAAACGGGCGAATTTGTCCTCCGGCACTCAAAGATCCGTGATTCTTGGACAGCAGAGAACCAGGTTCTGTTTTCACAGCTGTATTATTATTGTACAGATACATCGTCCGTTATCTCGTGGAAAGACTTCTTTTCGAGCAGTTGTTCGTCCTATCACGTGACTTAGGCGGTCATAGATGTACGATCACGTAATCCCCACCATCGCAAGTCAGGGATTCTCTCGACCTCACATCAACAATCACTGTGCAGCCATGCCTCCGCACCGCCCCAACACCCCGATTTCCGCCGCATCATCCTTTAGCTGCGACCCTTGCTCCTCCTCAGGTCCGCCCCCGTCTGCTCCTCCCTTGCCTTTTGCAGGTCGGGGCCCTGCCACACCACCGGAGGACCCGCCAAGCCCCACCCCGTCCCCCCCCGTGGAGCTCTCCGCCTTCTTCGCGTCTATCTCAGCCTTCCTGGAGGGTGACTACCTCAACGAAAGGACACTCACACTCGCCCAGGTCTCCCCTGCCCGCCTGGAAAGATTCCAGCGCTGGGCTCTGAACCGCAGACTTCACCGGCTACGGTGCGACCACAGCCCCCACCCCCACCCCCATCCCCCTCCACCCAAAACACTCCCCGAATGCACGCAGCTAACTCCACAGCTAGGTATATCTACGACGCGGCCACCCGCACGCTCACGCTCCGCGGCATGATCACGACTGTACACGACGCGATCATTCAGTGGTTGATGGAGATCTATTCGAAGCTAAGCCTCTCCGACGAGGAGCGGGCACACATCCAGTTTAATACGGGCTATGATATACCACTACAGGGTGGCGGGATACGGCAGCCAGATGCGTCGTTCAGATATGTGTTTATAGATGAGAAGGAAGGGGTGGAAGTGACTGACCCGTATCCGCGGGTGATCTTCGAGGTGGCCTTCTCGCAGAAACATGACGATGTGAAGTGCGTGGCGGAGAGCTGGCTCAAAGGCACCAAGGGTATGGTGAGCGTGGTGGTGGTAGTCAATATCGAGGAGGGAGGCAAGCGTAACGGAACCGGGGATGCCGATGAGAGCGTCAACAGGATGGATCAGGATGGCGATGGCGAGGATCAGGCAGAGGAATCAACTGAGTCAGAAGCAGAGTCGGAAGACTTCACATCGGCGCAAGTGATCGCGAACTTCCACAAGAGATGCAACCCCTCGGATGTTGTCGGGCCGCTTACAGCCACGGTCGAGCTCTTCCGCCTGCGAGAAGACGGTAATATGGTGCGCGACGGGCCCGCATATGTATTCACACTCCCACCTCCCTCACTTTTTAGGTCTCCTTTCCCATATCACGCATGGCTAACTTGGCCGTTCAGAGATTCCTCCCAGACCAGAGCCCCGAAGTAGACCCTGTGTTGAAAATTTCAGACCTGTTGCGCGACACCAAGGACGGTGATCGGCGGACAGTGGCCCTACCGCTGGCGCGGTATGGGTAGCTCTTAAACACGGCGAAGAGGGATCTGGCAGTAATGAGGACGGCGAAGCAAAAGAGGGATAAGAGGAAGAGGGCGGAGGAGGGAAGCGAGGAGGGGGAGGATTATGTGGCGGAGGAGTTGGAGGAGAGGGGGGCCAAGAAGGTTAGGCTTCTGAGGAGTGGGCGAGAGGTAGTCGGAGCGGGGATGTGGCGAGCTGATGTGGGAAGGGAAGGCTTGGTGTTTGTGTGTGTGTTTGGGGAGGGGGGGGGCGTGGTTTACCATTCTTTTTTCTCGGATTCCCATTAGCAGGACTACTGGCTTGAAAGTACATATCTTATTCCGATCATCGTTTATCGTTTTATTTCCTGATGATATTTAGCGGGTCTACATGTAGTTATATGTTTACCATTAACTCAATTAACTTCTATACATACCTTAATCGCTTCACCGTATAGAAAGGGTCGAATTGGGCCCATACAGACGAAAATGTTTTAACCTTCCTACCAACGCCCCCCAGCCGCCAGGAGTAAAGACACCCTACCTGTCATGATTAACAGGTTGGCGTTGACCCGGTCAGAATCAATAACAAATTATATTGATCACTGTTGTCACAGCAATCAGGGATTTGCGCCGCAGTGATAATGCTTTCATCCCAGCATACTACCCCTTACCCCGGTGCTATCACCCTTTTGCGCAGTTTTCCCACTTTGCAAAACAGAAACCAGGCCCGCACGAGAGACCAATTATTTGAACAAGATCTGCCAGTGAAGTTACCCAAGCCCCACTCTTTCCTCGGGGGTGGCGGGAGGTGGCATTTCCGCGCCGGACGGAGTAAAGACGATAAAACACTTCCTATATATAGCTAGGCACAGTAGTGGGCGATGCTCCTCCACCTTATATCTTTACCTTTGCGTTTTCCCTCTCCTTCCCCTGTTGCGTCCCTATCTTGTGTAAACAAATTGTTGTTTAGTTATATATTATCGGCCTTACGGGGGTCTCAGGTGGAGAGAGAGGTGGAAGAAATTGCCTGGTGCAGGTTATACTAGTACAATTAAGGAAATAAGTGGGTCATTCTGATGAGAAGATAATAACGAAATCATGTATTATAATGTTGTAAACTGTCAGAGAAGGAACAGAACCTGGAAGAATGTTGAACTCAGGTGTCAACCCTTTCCCTATCAATTTCGATTGTTCATATAACTATAATTGCATGCTTTGTGTTCTTGCTATTCAAGCCCCTATGGAAGAGTATGTACGGCGGCTCGTAACTACCAAAGTGCAATTAGCGAATTCGGGGTTTTGGCAACCAGCGCGACACCCCACGAACGACCATCAACCATCAACCATCAACCAACCACGAACACCATCGCCCATGAACACCACCGCTCACTTCACCTAACCTCTGGTAGGGAAGTTTATTGCACGCCGCTTCACTTGACCTCTGGTAAGGAAGTCCGTTGCCGCCAAGTCCAGCACCCGCCAACTCCAGCACCCGCCAACTCCAACACATGTCCCCACCAGCACCCGTTCCCAACAACTTAACCATCCCTCTGGTAGGTGAGTTTTTATTGCATTGCTTCACTTAACCTCTGGTGGGGAAGACTGCTGCCGGTGCTAATATGACTACAGCAATGCCTAAGTTCACTAATCTCGCCCTAATGCACACCAAAGCCGGTACCCTCAAGTCTCCTCCCTCCCTCCAAGGTCGAAAGAAGGCCGACTGTGTCAAAAGCCACCGCCTGTCTGATATCGTGACCAAACAGTTCACACCATTCCTCATCAGGCAAGCTACTGGTCAAGCTGCCGGTCAATCTGTTGAACCCAAAAAAGCACAGGGTGATCAGGAGTTGGAAAGGGATATCAACAAGTGGATGTGTCTCCCTGAGGGTATGAAAGGTACTTGTGAGGAGGCCAAAGCCAATGGGACCAGGTCTTTTAAGATTTTCAAGGGCAAGATTGGGAATGGCATTGAGGTATTCTTTGACGTTGATATGTCTCAATCTTTGAATAAAGTTGGCACTCTTGTTAACAAGAGTTTGGGGGAGCTCAATAATGCTGCTCTTACTTACAAGCAAGTTGAAGTTCCTGCAGTTCCCGGTGCCTTTTATCTTGCCCTTGATAAACATTACACCCGAATGTTTGTCTACTTTAGCAAGGGTATGGGGATGGTCTACGGAGTTGAAATTGGGAACTTAGTTCTGAAGTCTACAACATACAACATTGAGGAATATCCTGAACTCCAACTACCTGATATTCCGGATGCCAAAATTGTTAGGCATGCTGCGTACCAGAATTGGCTTCTTGCCAATGCTAATCTTTGTTGGGCTAATTGTTCACGGGCTGGTGTTTACTATTGGGGTATGGAGATGGAAAGAGGTCATAATGATGACGCTGTCATCACCAAAGATACTCTCAAAACATCTCAACACATGAATCCCGTTCTCCTCCGGCTCTTTACCTCATTAGGCAATCTTACTATATCCAAAAGAATTTTGCTTGTTTCAGGTGACAAAAATAACAGAGATCTTTGTGTCAAAATAATCACGGTTTTGCCCACGGCAGAGAAACAGTGGGCAACTGATGATCAAGAATGTTTATCTTTGAGAGCATGTTTGATTAATATGTTTACTGAACCTCATTATGATATTGGTGATTTAAAAGATGTATAGACGGTAATGTCACCAATGGTTGAGTTCACAGGGATGATTTCTGTATCAGGGAAACGAATAGGAAGTTTGTTTGTAGGCCTGGTGTATTTGGTTTTCTTAGGGGAACAAAGTTGGAACACTTTACTACTAACTGGTACGGTTTTAGACTTTGTTTGGTCTTAACAATGCATAAAGCAATCAAGAAGGAATATTTTAAAATATTTCCCGAAATTGTTTAGATTAGAATAACAATTTGTAGTTACAGAAATAAAATGATTGTTTTAACTATTTAGAAAAATATTTAATCACTATCCTCGTATAATGTCCTCCTCCTCTTTGGTTGCTGATTAGATTTCCTAATCTCTTGTAAAGCATTACCGTCGGGTAATATTGAAGGAATATCTTCATCAGCAAAAATGACATGTCGTCTTGTGCCACCTGGGCGCTCAAGATGCCCCAGATGCCCCAGGTGCCCCGAGACTTTTGTTTACCTATAGACCGACACCTGTGCATCCCACGAGGAACGCCCCGTATCTTTTTCTCAACTGATGTCGTCGCGACAGGTCTAGACCCAAAGTCGCCTCCTGGCATCTCCACACTAGTATTTTCAGCCGGGTTAACAGCTTTCGCTAGCAGTTTTTTCTGGCAGAATGAGATCACTCGGCAAAAGGTATATCGACTAGGAAATGTTTTCCACGAGGCTGTAACATATATTTGTCTATCGGTCTATCTAATTCTCTATGTGCATATTTGCTAGCGCCCTACGTACCCCGAATCTGCCTACCTACCCTAGTGCCGGACTGCCTACCCCCATGCCCGACTGCCTACCCAAGTGTCGAACCGTCTACCCTCGCACCTGCCTGCCTACCGCCATGTCTGACTGCCTTCCACCGTGCTCCACTGCCTGCCCCACTGCCTGCCTGACTTCATGCCAATTAGGAGTTCAATTAATGTCGATTGGGTGCACTGACAGTCGTCAATTCGGTGTAGATTTGAGCATAGATTTGAAAGTAGATTTGATGCTGATTTAGGTGTCAACTTGGCGCAATTAGTTAACATTTTGGCGTCGTTTTCGGCATCCATTTGAAGCCAATTTGATGGAATTAGCTGATGATCTGGTGTCGTTTAGAAGTCTGTAGCGGTGTCAGTACAAACATCAAAATGCAGAGATAAGTAAATATGTATAGAGGCATTGCTGCAGGTAGGAAGTAGACATTGCTGCTGGTGGATGGCAGGCTTCACTGCTGGTAGGAGGTAGGCATCGATGCAGGTGGGAGGTAGATGTCGAGGTAGGTGTTGAGGTAGTTGTCGAGAGGAAAATAGGCAGATAAGCAGGTAGATAAGCAGGTGGGATCCTCGAAATGTCAAATCTGACGTCATTTGCTAGCGAGGTCAGGGCTAGCAACAGGACTTGAGCAGATTCCCAACAGTGGGTCACGTTTTGGGAGTCGGTGAAGCATCAAGAGGTGAAGTGTCATATTTGTGACCCCTACTAGGCGTTGAAAGATAAGAGGTCATATTTTGGACGCCTATACGCGTTAATAGACGATCTATAACATTTTGTATGCTTAATAGGTACCAAAAGATGACTTGTCACATCTTGGTGGCAGCGGGATGAGGTTTTGTGAGCAATAGATGAGGTTTTCGGTGCGGAAGATGAATTTGGACATCTGGGCGCGCTGATTCATCCTGGCAAAACACGTTTTTTGTTGATTTTAACCAATTGGTGATGGAGAGGACTCTAAATGGGGAGAGTGAAATACAGAACCTGACTCCTCAGGTATATCAGGTGTCAAAGCCATTGAATCTCTTTTTAATTTAGGGATAGAGGGCAATGGGTTATCACAGATAAAATGTTCGTCTTCTGGGCAATGTGCCTATAGAATAATTAATATGAACCAGCTGCCATTCTAAAGAAGTGAAAAAGATACCCGTTCTCCCACTCTCATAGGAAGCTCTCTTTTAATGACCGCTGGTGAATTAAACCTGTATTTTCTTGCCCGTACATCAGTGAAAAACTCTTTTGTTTCCTCCTTCTCTTTTTTGATCCTAATTGCCCGTTGTTCTTCTGTTTGGTGCTTGACTACCTAAACAATTTTTGTAGTCGGCCCTCTACGAAAAGCCATCAGAAAATCTCTAACAATTATTAGCTTGTTCCTGATATCCAACCTATGAGGTCCATCTTTGGGGGTGAAAATGTGTTGCCACAAGGACTTGATATATATCTAATAACTCTGCGGTAATAGCACCGGCCATTTAGGGGAGGAGCTCAAGAGATCGAAAGCAAAATTCGAGTGATCGGTGATGAGCTCATACAAGTCCTCAAATACTTTTGATGATACATCTATATAACTGGTTAAAATAAATAATAAAATATTCCAACATTTAATTGTTTTACCTATGTTCTTATATGAACTCCATTTATCATCTAAAGAGACAACATATATCACTAACTTGCGGGAATCTCTTGCTGTAATTTTGGGAGTACTTTGTCTGTAGGCGGGTGCTAATGATGTAAGGTCAGGAAGTAAATCAAATGTTGGGTTCTGTTTTTTCGATTCTGTAGAAGTTTTACAAATTGAACCCTGACGGTAAAGTTCCATAATCTGACCGGCTGTTAACTAACCTGTTTTGACAACTCTCTCTGGTGAGTTTGTCGGGCTGGAGAGAAGAAGGATTGTTTCAATATTCTGTGAAGATTTACCCTTCCCTTTGAAGTTTGCAGTGTGGGAGAAAAAGACTTGAGTGTGGTTTGAATACATGACCTTGAGGGAGGATGTGTTTTTTGTAGTGCAAAGAAAATAGTATTGCGCCGCTGAAGTTCCAGCGAGAATGTGGGCATTTGAATGCTCTATATATACAGATATTCTAATACCACGTGATCCTCTGATTATACAATCCCTGACACTAAGCCTTGTTTGAATCCCTGTTCCTTCTATGAGTCATTCCTTATACATAAGTAATTCCATACATAACCGATATCGCAATGCCCTATTTCTACACTTCCCCTTACTTGCCAAATCGTATCAATTCTGACAGTTTTTGGTGAGCTAGTTTCGGTAGTCCTTTGGTTATTATGTCTGCAATATTGTCTTCAGTTGGAACATAGAGGAGTTTGAAGGTTCCGGCTTCGAGTTGTTCACGTGTGTAGTGGTAGTGAACGTCGATGTGTTTGGACCGGTCGTGGATACGTGGGTTCCCACGCAGTTCGATAGACCCTGTGTTGTCGGCGTGAATGTTGTACTGGTTTTGTTGTTGGAGTTCGCATAAGGTGTTACGAATCCATACCAGTTGAACAGCTGTAAGCGACGGAGCCATGTATTCGGCTTCTGTTGTTGAGACTGCGACTGATTTCTGCTTTCGGCTTCCCCAGCTGATGACTGACTTTTCTAGTCTGAACACGTATCCTGATAACGATTTTCTGTCATCTAGGTCTGACGTGTAGGAACTGTCTGAGAAACCATCGAGTGTTCTAGTATTTCCTTTTGAGTAGAACAGGTTCGGGACTTTGATTCCGTTGAGGTATCGGAGAGTTCGTTTGGCTGCTCGTAGGTGGTCCTCAGTTGGGCATGAGGAGTACTGAGAGAAGGTGGTAACGGTATGGGTGATATCAGATCTGGTTGCTATGCTGGCGTACATGAGTGATCCAATTATGGATTGATACTCAGTTGGTTTTTCGATTTGGTCTTCCGGTTCTCCTTTACGAAGGCTTAGATATGGTTCGAGTGGTGTACCAACTGGTTTGCAGTTATTCATTCCAAATTTGTCTAGGATTTTGTTGATGTATGCTAGTTGTGACAACCTGATACCGTCTCTTGTTACCGTTATTTCTATTCCCAGTAGGAATTTCGCATTACCGAGATCCGTACATTCGAAATCTGTCTTGACTATTTGTCTGATTTCATTTCTGAATGCGGAGTCGGGTCCAAATATCATGATGTCATCAACATACACCTATATGTATAGTTGGTGTTTCTTATATATGAAGACAGATGGGTCAAATTTGGCTGGGACAAATCTTTTCCGATGGAGGGAGTCTGTTAGGCAAGTGTATCATTCACGGGGTGATTGTTTTAGTCCATATATGCATTTGCGAAGTTTACAAACCTTGTGGTCCTGCCTCTACCCTTCAGGTAGTTCCATGTAGATTTCCTCCTTAAGCATTCCATATAGGAAGGCTGACTTGACGTCTATTTGTTGTGGTGTCCAACCGTTGTGTGCAGCTAGTGCAAGTAGGAGTCGTAGGGAGTCGTATCGGGCAACGGCGGGGAAGGTCTCATCATAGTCTTGATACTGTACTTGGGTGAAGCCTTTGGCGACGTACCTAGCTTTGTATCTTTCGATTGTTCCATCAGCGTTGTGTTTTACCTTGAATACCCATTTTCCTCTGACTACTGCTCGGTTGGTTGGTCTGTCGACAATGTCCCAGGTTTGGGCCTTGTCAAGGATGTCTTTTTCCGTCTGTATTGCCTTCTTCCATAGGTGTTGATCATCGCTTTTCATCGCTTGATTGAAGGTGGTAGATTCAGTTACTAGGTGTACCCGATGGATAGTGGGGTCCAAGTCAACGTACTGGCTTTGGAGCTTCGCTTTGTCCTTTTTGTGGTCTAGGCTGGCTGCTTCCATAACTAGTTGCTTGTTTTGTTCGTCCATATCTTTCTCGGCTAGTATTTCGGATACCTCCTTGTTATAGGTGGTTCCTAATTCCGATATTTCCTGTCGGATTTCCTTCTTTTTCCCTTCGATATCAACTGTTGCTTGTTTCTCCGTTCTTTCACGGATGTGATTTGATCTTATTGTTGTGACAGGATTCGGGACTTCAGATTTTTTCTCCTTTTCGGTAGTTGATTTCCAAGGTTTTGATTTCCTTGGTGGTTCCGGGAGAGGTGTTTCTGTGTTTTCCTGATTAGCTTCCTGTTTATTACTTTCTTCGAGGTGATATGCAGGAGTTGGCTTGATTAGCCCGGCCCCCAGTCTACTTGCGTTTGTTTTAAGGTTTTCTTCGATTGCTGACGATTCGG